CCCTGTTAGAAAACAGTCAAAAGAAGTGAAGCTGGGTGCTCTGGGATGGGTGTGGCCTCATCATGTTTCAGCTGAGGGACTCGTAGGACACATGAAAAAGTTCACAAAGAACTGTGAGTGATTTTCAGGTAAAAACAAGCAAGAAATCTCAAGACAGCAGGTCATGTTCTTCGATATAAGTCACAAACTACAAACTCCCACTCCCATACGACCCAGCGGGACACAATTAAACTTTAAATAAAAAGTGTAATAATCTGCAGAGCCCACATTTCTTAAGTGACATTGCATAAAACTCAAAGGTGCTAATGCCTCATTAATCTCTCCTGTACACGGTCCCTGCAGAGAGAGAAATCCTGGACAGTATTTGAAACACTTCCTCAGGCTCTAAAATAAATATCAGGACAAAAGCACACAAACATTGTATAGCACTTGTTTGATATTTGCTTTTGTGGGCTGATGTGTTTAGACTGAACTCATGAATTCTGCTGATGCTCCTGCTGATGCTGTAAAGGGATTGCTTACTTTCACGACGGAAGAAAAACAAGCCTGAACAGACAAATGCAGCCATAAGAAGGAAAAAAGTCAAATCTGCAGCTAGAACATAAAGTAACATTTGACATGGACTTGTAGTAAGAATATAAACCAGTGGAGTTTGAGGATAACTTGCAAAAATAGACTAATTTAAGTGCTTTGGTTTCAAGAGGATTTAGAGAAATGTTTCCATGCTTTTAGTTGTATTGACTGTAATGTCTTTTAAACTAGTCTCAAAAACGTGGATTACATGAGTCCAGTGTCTTCCTCTCAGTCAAGCACTGTGAACTCCTGTGTAAAGGCTGTACATTAATAATCTTCATATCTGCTTACGGTATATCATGCTGTGATAATTTATTTAATGATTATTACATTTCTGTACAGTGCTACATCTTACTTATTAATTTGAATCCAGTGCTCTTTATTTATATTTTACAATTCATTGTTTATTTATTATGTTTTATTCCATTATACATATGTACAAGTTTTATCTTATATTACTTCTTTTTAAACTAGTTATATACACATCTTTTCATATGTCCTTGTTTTGCCTATATATATTAAGTGAAGCACTGTGAATTGCCTTGTTTTTAAAGGTGCTTCCACTACTATAAAAATGTGTATGCTTCTGAAACAGCATTTAAGGTAAAATTCTCAATGGAACCAGTCTAAAAACATATTTCTGGGTGTCTAGAGGCTACAGCTATGGCATGAGAAATTCTCACCTGTATAAATAAAACATGGAAACAGCTTTTTTTTTCCTGCTGCTGAGGTCAAACAGAAGCCTATAGCAGGTTAGTCTGCTGTGGCGTTTTTTGATATTTATCAAAAGGCCAGTATCACTGCTGATACACAGTATCAGTGTCACCCTGGTGGGACCCTAACACCGCGCTATAATCGTGACAATTAAACTTGCCTGGTACCAGCCAGCTCTCCTTTCATTTCGCTGTTGTTCACGGCTTTTTATTTTCCCCCATCCGCCTTTCATTTCACATGCCCACTAAATTAGCTTGGTGTTCAAGCTGTGCTAATGGCCTTTCATGTCCATATCAGAGGCGCTTAAGCCTTGAAGACAAAAAGGCCCCAATTATTCCATAACACACATCGACTGTCCAATACATATCACAGTGGTACATCATCACACTGCCTTTTTTAAATAGCTACAATAGCAGCAGTGTTTGAAGACAATCACCTTTCCACTTATTCATGGGAAATGACTTTGATGCTTTTAATGTGGAATGAATTTTTATTTACATGGCGTGGGCATCATACAGTGTGTAGCGATTCCTCGGCTGCAAAGCCTACTTTATCTGTGTAAAGGAGGTCCTTGATCATTCTTAATTAACATCTAAACTGGAAGAGGAAGTGCATTAATGGCCGGCTCTTTGTCGGTGCGGCTAATTAACACCCAGGAGGTTTCCATTATCCTGAATAAATAAATTAATAAACCAACATTTCAATGACCCTGGGAGAGGCTTTCTGAAATCAGAGTCTAATTTAAACAGTGCCTTATTCAAACAGGAAAAGGGCAGGGGTGTCCTGTCTGACAGCGCTAAAGGCCAACGTGCAGCTTTACGGGCCGAGGACGAGCTCGTCGTGAGAAAAAAGAAAATCAACAGAATCTCCTTCTGATCCATTTAGCGCTTCGTGGGTTCATCTTAAAAGGCCCGTTTGAGCAGATGTGTTGAAGGGCACTAATTGTCTAATTGCATGGCAAATCCAACGCACCTCATCGCACTGCTTCTTTCATCTGATGGGTCATGGAAAACGACTTTATGTTCGGTTGACCCAGTGTAAACCAATCATTATGTTAAATGCCATTAGAGAAAATATAATATTTAAATTAAGTCAGGTAATCAAAGTGAAATGAGTCAATGAATATGAATTTATTCAAACAGACTCTGAAGGTTCTTCACAATGACAATGGCACCAGGGGCAGCAGGGCCGTAACTATACTGAGAAGACGCACATTTTGGGGGACTTTATCTCATGAAATTTTAAAGTTACATTTGGAGATTGTGTCAGAAGGTGCAGTATTTTACAGTCACCTGGTTTCATTTTTTTCTATTTTTTAGGCCAATACACATAAACAGTTCAGTATTTCTCCGGCAGATTTTTATTCCTGAACAATAAAATGCTGACCCTCAACTTGGGGGTTGGGTGGGGGGGCTTGGACTTGACCTCAGTTAATAGAACGGCCGCTTAAAGGGACAGATCTTCCGGCTCAGTATAATTTAATCAGACGAGTCTGAATGGACCTCTGCAATTTTTGACATAAATTAATTTTACAAATTACAATTGAATAGAATTGACCATATTCTGTTAATTTCAGGATAATAGGCGTATACATTATCCCTAAATGTTCAAGTAGTCCTATCAGTCTGCACTATGTGGTAAAATAGCCAGTCTGCAGATATTGAGTATTTGTATAAGAGACATTTTAAAGGGCGTTTCTACTTGATTCTAAAAAAATATTTTATGTCAGAAGTAATTTTAATTAATGATAAGAGGAACAAAAGGAAATGTCTGAGGCCAGATATAAAATAAACATTTGAAGTGCAATCAAAGCACTAGATTGACCTTCATGTAAAAAAATTATTATTACAGATTATACTAATTAACACTTTACAGAATAAATGAATGGCAAATATCCAAATGACAAGATTTTTTTTAGGGACTTGTCCAAACTTGACCGTTTTTTATAAGCTCAGCCTTCGGCCCATTCAAAGAGTCTGAAATCATGTGGGAACATCTAACAAACTGGATGCTAACGTAACATATTTATAAAAGAATAATAAAATGAAAGTTTCTTCTGTAATGTTGAAATAGCTACTTTAGTTAGAAAATGTTAACTTTTTTCGGATTTTTTTATCGACATACACTCCCTGCACTGTTTACTTTTTAGTTGTGAATTTCAAAGCTCAACAATATGATTAATTTTAAAGTAACGGACAAATTGAATTATCAGATTATAAATGCATAAATAAGCTGCTTCCAGCTCCTTAAATGTAAAAGTTTTCTGCAGTTTTTATTGAGTACAGGAGTTAACTGAATATATATTTATAAGCTTTGGACTGTCAGTTATTTCACATCATTTTAGAAAGAAAACCACACACTGAGAAAATAATCAGCGAATTCACTTGTCTAGGAAAGTGACAGATTTGTCTCATGATCAAACTCGTAAACTTGCAGCAGCAGAATCTCAAAGTTAGAGGTGGCAGCTGCAGCTAACTTTTCACGTCGTCCCTCCACTGATGAGAGCCACTTTTCTTTTTTGACCGTGTGCCCTTGAGCAAACACTTCCTGAGGACTGACAGCTGGAGGCCGGTCGTTATCAGATGGGGGATGAATCACAGAGCAGCAGCAGCAGGGCGACAGGGTGACAGTGAAAAAACAAACTGACAAGTGTCACAAGCTCATGGGAGGTGGATGAGGGTGATGGAGATCTGAGGATGATGATACATCATTTTAATAAGTTTAAGGTTAATATCAATGTCACCTTCAGTCTGGTTTTCGAATGCACTTTTTTGATTAAATTTAATGTTGCATCACATCAGATGTTGGCCTCCAAACCATTCTGCATCTCCTGCTATTATCATAATTATGATCATTTTATCCTCATGGTGTATAAAGACAAATTATTATTACTTGTCACCTTAATGTCACTTTTTCTATTTTGTGTCTGTCTGTGCTGAATCAGTTGCAGCATCCACTTCTCCTCCTTGACTAAAACTTTAGCACTCATCCACATCTGTCAGCCAAATCTCAAAACGCAAGAATTTGGACACGTTCCGAGCAGCACCCCGCTAATCTCGCTGACAGGCTCCGCACGGTCGTTTATCTCAATCAGTGTCAGAGAGCGCAGGTCGCGGCTCGTCCACCCCCCTCACACACCCCTCACCGACCCCTCACCCTGTCCTGTTCCGCCGGGCAGGAGGTGTGGTGGTGGACGCCGCCTGTGTTTACTCTGCGCATTCCTCCAGCCTCCTGCATGCATGCGCACCGAGAGGCACTTCTGACAGGTCCGGGCTGGTTCCGCCGATTTATCAACGATCTAATGGAGCGACAATATGAAAGTCTGGGAGATGGTTGCGCAGGGATTTCTACTTAGTCTGGCATCAAGGGCAAACTTTGTTTTAGAAATCAGACACCAGAAACGTAAACCTAAACTGCTCCATAAAACATCCTCCCTGTATTCGATGATTATTTCAGATGAGCATGTGATGCTTTCCCTGCTTTCAAAACTTTTAAACGCCCCTGGCTCTTTGGAATGAGCCAAAGTGCTGTTCAACTTTATCATCGCCTCTGTCACACAAGGGCCAACTTATCTTAGATCAGTGTGGATGATGGACTCAGCTTGTTCTGGCCCATCATCCTCATCCTCAGCCCTAATAGTGAGGCACACGCAGCAGCAGCAGCAACAACAACAACAGCAACAGCAGCAGCAGATGAGGAGAAGTTGGACCTACAGTGTGCGCTCCGGCGGTGCTGCCACTCTCGGTGCGCCAGTCCGCTGATGCAGGCTTTCAGAGCCTTCTCCTGCAGCATGCAGGAGGACGGGCTGGGCGAGTAGAAATCCAACATCTGCCCGGGACTCACGGCCAGCACGTCCATGCAGTCAAACATGTTGGCGGCGCGTCGCTCAGCTCGTCTCGTGCGTCAAGGAATTGGGGGAGAGAAAAAAAATCACCGGCATAAGCGCACACAACTCCATCAAACTCCGCTACTTCCACCCTCCTCCTCCTCCTCCTCCTCTTCCTCCTCTTCGTCTTGTTCTTCTTGGCACAGCAGACTCCTCTCCTCTTCTTCTCATTCGTCCCGCACCGGGATCATGAATTATTTCGGACCTCAAATCTTCCGCCGCTTCCTCTTAAATGTTCATTTTTCTTTCAACAAAAATCCGCCGCGGCACCGTGTCCTCTCAGCGCGCCGCCACGGGCGTCAGAACGCGACTCTTCCGTGATAATCATAATAATGATGATAATAACAACAACACCCCGACGCGCTCTGGCTCAAGTCGCCCCGGTCTCGGCTCCCTGACACGGGGGAAGGCGGCGGTAACACACCGCCTCCGCTGGAAGGTCTCTGTTTGAGAATATGAGGGGGAAAAACAAACGCGGACGCGTTTTTAAAAGCACATGTTCTTCTCCCCCGATGACGAATGGCTTATATCCGTCCCCCAGCTCCGCTCATTTCCAACTAGTTTTGCCACGGAGAATGAAAGATTGAATAGCCTAATATATGCGACTGAACTTTGTATGAACCCTTCCGAGGCTGCTGACCTTCAAATGACCCAGGCAGGCTGACATCACTGCAGCTCCCCGGCGCGGAACAAGGCGGAGAGAAGAAGCGCAGGGGAAAAATCACAAAGATCTTTTTTCTTTCTTTTTTTTTGTGCGTTGGGGGAAAATAAAATACACGAAGGCCACCCCCCCTCCTCAAAAAAGATAAAATAATACACGAGTACACGAGCTGAAGAAGTGTTTCCACTGCTCAGTGTCTGATTTGTCTTTACGCACAGTGTCAGGAAGATTCCCCTGCGCCTGCAGAGATGAATGGCCATAAACAGGAGCAATACTACTGATTTATGTAGTTATGAAAGAGCAATATTTTACAGAAAGTAGGACACAAAAGTGAAAAGAACAAAGGAAAGGAGAGGTAGTATGAGTCTCTTTTATCAGGTTTATCTTGACAAACTGCAGCAGAGACTGAAGGTCTGTCTGGCTCTGGTCAGTGGCATCAATCATCAGCTCAAAGTGGAAACATTAGTCCTGCATGGTATGGGAAATAAGTGTTTACATTTCTGGAGGATCCATTTTGTCTCTTTATTAAAATGGAAACATTTATATTGATAAAAAAAGATAATTGCAGGGATTTAAACTTTAAATCCCTGCATTTTGTCTATTAATTTAAAAATAGGAATATACACAAGCCCAGTCACACCTCACCAAACAACCTACTAGAACAAGCTGCTTATATTACATTACATGGGATTACAAAAAAAGTCTATGTAGACATTTCCTAAGTAAAGTGCATGTGAATGTAGTTGATGCTTATGTGCTTGGTAATAAAAATAAACGCTAACAGGCTGAGTTCAAATTGAATTCAGCTTCACCACACTTCTGCATCCAGCTGCATTATAGAACACAAGGTGATTAAAATGAGATTATTGTTAGTGTGCAGTAGGTGGAACATAAAATCGGAATGTTGGCCTGACACTGACTATTTTATTTTAAGCTGAAGAGAGTGTCACAAATGATTGATGGCTGGAATGTTATTATTTCATCATGAAGTGTCATTTCACACGTTTCACTTTTTTTCTGCTTCCTGTTTGGTTTTATTCTTCATCAATAAAACTACACACATCATTGTAAAACGAATCAGAAGATAAGGATTCAAATGTGTTTTTTATGACCTATAAGCATGAGGCCTGTCACACCTCACCAAACAAATGACACGTGTACAGCAGGTGAGGCCCAAATCATATCACCTTGTTATGTACATGTAAAAAGATGTATTATTAAATCACAACTTTTATGTATGAAGACAGCATTTTACAAACACAATGACACTTTTTCCCATAATATGAATGACTGTATTCATATATATTATATTAAAACTCCATGTGGTCTTACTCATATGAAACGGGACTCTGCCTCGTGGTTATGCAACTTTACGTGGTGAGCTTATTCACAGTTAATCATTGTGCAGTTGTGTGCCTTTTGAAATTTGAACTGAAGTTCCACTATATATATATGGCACTGTATACAGTGCATATCTATACTGTATACATGTGCTGAGTAATAAAACTGTGGACAGTGGTATGGAATCAGTTTGTGCAGTTTCAGGTCAGTCACAATAAGGCAGAATAATAAAAAGAACAACCATAAGAGGGAATGTAAAAAACAAAAACATTATAAAGTTATTGAAATTTTTAGTTATCATGGTTTATCTATTTGGAGTTATGTCTCATTTCTCTGCAACTATACGTGCCAGTAAATCATATTCTAGCTCAAATAAAAGTACAAGAACAAAAAAAAAAAAACAATTACCTATTTAGCAGGTATATTCAAATACTGCTTACACAATAATGTGGCACTAATAATAATCAAACAGTTCAACATAGAACTCTAAAATTGACATTTTGCAACCATTACTTTTTTATGCAATCTCAATGCTCTATTTTTACATGCAGTAATACCATCTCATGCAAAATTTAAAAGGCTCCATTGTTGCAGAAGAAATGACATGGTGGGACATGTCCCAACTGTGAGTGATGTTGGTACAACACGCTGATGTGCAACAGCAGGAATTACAAACGCCTCATTATTTAGGAGCTGAAATTCCCATGGACTGAGAGTCAGCTGAATCGTGCACTCAGCTCTGCCATCTCATCCTTTTACTCCTTTTAGCAAAGCAGTGTCTGACGCTGTATCACCCGACTCTCTGTGATGCATTACAATCACATTTGCCCTTTAGTAGCAAAGATGAGTTCCTTTGAAAATAATAATCGGAAGATTATATGAATTGTATCATAGTGTCATTAAATGCCCAGCTGCTCCATTAAATGTTCAACCTCCTACATAATGTGCACATTACGCTTATTATATCATGTTCTGATTATACTAACCATCAGGCGCTCACAGCGGCTGCTTCTGAGATTCCATTTAATGACTTACGAGGAGCGCCAAAGGTTAAATGTCATAATTCATTTTGGTTCAGTGTTTATTTATTATTTACCGCTTGTCAGTAAGAATACCTGTGCTCACTGAAGCAGAAAATCATTTTAGAACCGAGCTGACGAATCGTCTCATCCAAACATCTTGGCTGGGTGCGATTTTTTTAAGACATTCATCAAGGATGAAAAATACTTTTCCCAAAAATTACATTTACATTTTTTTTTCCCAGTCTGCTCCCCTGTCACCATTCCCTGTGGTCCAAACCAGAGAACATGTTTGTTCTGCACTCCTTCACAGAGAACAAAGTTTGCTCGAGTGGTAACCATTTCTGTCCGCCCACATGGGACAACATTTGAACAACAGCAAGACGATTTCAAACGCTAACTTTTGTTTTTGTTTTATTCTTTTTTATGAAGTTTTCTGCAGACATGACAAAGTCAGCGCCGCAACTGTAGGGCATGGTACAGAAACAAACCCCAACATTTTCCAGCCGCTATATGAATGTGAATCAGACGTGTTTGCAAAGGTCTCCCTCCTCCTATCTGCTGTGGGTCATTCAATCTCATAACGACAGACGTCCAACCGAAGAATTTTATATCTTTTCAAGCACATTCCAAAATCCCTGAAACTTTTTTTTCACTTTGTCTCAATCAGCAGAATGTGTTTCTATGGAAGCCTGTCCTTCTTAGATTCTTTCTTAGTTTTCCATTACCACCATTGGGCTTGTGACATTAAGACATTTCCCAGCTACCAGCTCCTAATCGCTCTGGGTTCACACTGAGATGCCGTTTCCCTTTTAGTGTTCTACACTAGCCTATGCAGCTTTCCACAAATATCAAGATTTGGCCTTTCACACAGAGCATCGATCCATGCATTAGTTTTAAACAACCGCTTAATCTCTCATCCCTGCTCTGTCAACCTGCCAATTGTAGGAAGTCAGTCTCACTCCCCTTAATCATCTATTTGTGGATGAGGTATCCTCACCCTCTGCATCTTAGTCAGTTAAATATAAATGACTGATTAGCCATCTCCTTCATTTTCTTTCCAAATAAAGCATGTTTCCCTGTGGTCCTAACTGCCATCCTGAATTGGAAATTGACCAGTTTCTCTCCCTCGACTTTGATCAGACGCAGCCGGTATCTGTTGTCTACCGTCGAAATCGAATCCTAAACCCCGCCTCCACAGTATCTCTCCGAGACACATGGGAGCACGACTCGTGTGTTGACACCTCCGAGAACCAGTCGAGCGACATTCTCTGTCTGTTGCACTCTTCATGTGCCAGACATGTATGCAACTATTGATCCTTAGCCCCAGACTGCTATGTTTGGCCTCCCCCCAACTCAGAATACAACGTGTACAATATAGCGTGTCATTGCCTATTTACCACCACCACCACCAACACATGACAGCTGGATACAAGAAGTCCTCACTCACTGCCTTTCTATGCCTCATCCATTTCATCAACAATATGACTATAAATCGATGATTTACCGATCCTCTCATTCTAACATGATCCAAATTGTACTTATTATATGTATTCATGAAACATTTTCACAGCTTTTCAAACTTGGTTGTGAAGAATTGTTATTACTAATACAAAGGACACGGTTCATTTATTTGCTTCTCTTCAGTGACAGCAGTTTGTGATGGTTTTATGGAAGTGTTACAGTATAGAGGCAGACACCCTCTCTGTGTCAATGTCAAATCAATGTTTTGAATATTGTAATTTTGCTGATTTGTTCAGTTACACGTGGCATCTATTGCACTTCGGTCCGTCCTGGGAGAGGGATCCCTCACATGTGGCTCTCTGAGGTTTCTACGTTTTTTTCCCTCTTGTTGAGGATTAAGAACAGAGGATGTCCTTGTTAAGGCCTATGAGATGTGATTTGTTAATATGGGCCATACAAATAAAATTGGATTACGCCATTTTAGTGAGTATACATTTGTCTGAGATGTGCTGAACATAGGATTATGCAAGCACTTTATATTGTGGCCTGAGTAT